TAAGGTCTCCCTGGAGCCTTCTCTTCTCCAGGCTGAACAACCCCAGCTCCCTCAGCCTGTCTTCATAGGAGAGGTGCTCCATCCCTCTGATCATCTTCGTGGCCCTCCGCTGGACCCGTTCCAGCAGATCCATGTCCTTGGGATTCCACTGGGATTGTGCAAGATGCCCTATTTCAGACAGAACTTAGGGCTTGACAGGGGGAAATTCAAGGATTACATCCTGCAACCTGACCTACAGATCAGATATTGATCAATTATTGCCAACCTATTATAAAACAATTGAAGGATACTCAACTCCCTCTCCGGCCCCAGCTTTTTTTATGGCCAATTTTTCCAAGAAGCTGCCTCAGGTTTCCCTCCGTTGCCCTCCCAGAGCTGACATTTGTATCATTTGAAAGAATAGGAGCTGGGACTGTTTAGTATGAGGAAGAGGAGGCTGAGGGGAGACCTCATCACTCTCTACAACTACTTGAAAGGACACTGTAGAGAGGTTGGTGCTGGTCTCTTCTCACAGGTAATGAACGACAGAACGAGAGGGAACTGCTTCAAGCTCCAACAGGGTAGGTTTAGATTGAACATTAGGAAAGAATTTTTCACTGAAAGAATGATAGGGCATTGGAACAGGCTGCCCAGGGAGGGGGTGGAGTCACCATCCCTGGCTGTGTTTAAGGGACGTTTAGATGCAGTGCTGAGGGACATGGTGTAGGGGAGGACTTTGTAGAGTAGGGGAGATGGTTGGACTCGATGATCCCAAGGGTCTCTTCCAACCTGAATCATTCTATGATTCTATGAACCTCAGCAGGAAAGAAAGATGGCTCTGCCCACCCCATGTACCATAAAGAGCCCTCCTTCAGATCTCCCGTTCCCTGCCTGACTTGGAAAGTTTAATTACAGACTGTGGTTTACGTGGCAACGAAGCACTTCAATACAGAGGGAGGACTTTTTAAAACTTGTCAGGAGTTTGAGGGTCGTTTGTGTTTAATCACTTATTTTTCACTAGGGGTGGTGATAGCAAAAGCCAGGAGGAAGAACAATCAGGGCTGGTATCAGTTGCCATCAAAAATGTATATTTTTATTTCCCCACAGATTTTCCATTTTTAAAGTGAAAACGCACAAGCCTTCCTTACCTGAAGACCGTAGATGAAATTCCTCTGAGGAATCAGTCCTGGGGACCAAGGGAAGGTTAAAAGTCTGAATCCCTATTTCTTCACGATGCCGCATTGTCACCATGGCACACAGCCGGGACAAAGGCAGGGTCCCTTTGGCAACCAGCTGGTCTCTGACATTTGGGTAATAATACCTGGTGAGACACCAAGAAGCAGCCTCAATCACCTTGTTTTGATGATGACAAAAGGATCATTATTTCTCCCAAGTCTGTACATAAGGCAACTTTAATTTGTGTGTCTTCAAACACCAGTTAGTCCCCTGACAGCTAAGGGGGAAACTCAAGTAAGTGAATTTCCAAAGAAAAAAAAAAACAACAACAAACAGTAAGTGCTCACGTAGATAATGCTGCAAAAATAGCAAGTCAACCAGCAGAAACTCTAAAAAACATTGTGATCCCCAAGGAAAACAAGAGAAGGATCCGGCACCAAATATTCTCCGCTCTCAATTGCCAGTAATAAATAAAACTGCTACTTGCAGAACAGATTTATGGTACCATTTTCTGAGTGTTGGTAACCTTTTTCTATTTCAAATATTGCCAACTGGCAAGAGGGTGTTTGGAGAATTCTTCCGGATTAATAATTGGCTCCTTTCACCCCAAACAGCCTAAATTTACCAGCTGCTACAAGTGATCAGTCAGGGCAAGATTTAACCAAAGTCCAATCGTGCTCAGGAAACAGAGCCAAAGCACATTTTTGAATTGTTTGGTACTAACATTTTTGAATTTTGAATTGTTAGGTACTAACAATTAATTACCAACATTAATGAAAACACATCCAGCACGTAGCAATTCTCATGGAAATTTACAAATATAAAATAGCCTGGTTTGTTTACTCCAGAATGGACACCCAATTATTATAATTATGCTTCTTTAAAGCTACCTGTCTTCACGGTCTCTGCTTTCTGTTGCCAAAGAAGCTACAATTCCAACTTATAAACATTTTGTAGTATATTCTCTTGTACTTGGGGACTTGTATAAGGAAAAAAAACAACACAAAACAATGAAATTATACTGCCAGGGTGCTATTAAGTAAAATTTAGATATGCTGAGTGTTTAAACAATGCTTTTAGATCACTATGTTGATAAGAAAGTGGAAGAAAGCAAAGTAAGAGCACACACTTTCTAGTGAAGTTCTACAAGAGAAGAGCAATCAACGCTCCCGGAGGGGAAAAAAGGCTCCTATGTCTTAAATGCAGATATTAATCACCAAATGTTGATGAGCTCACCATTTATTATTAAATATCCATCCCCCAGCTAGAGATTTTTCAACACCAGGGATGGCTCTATCTCTATTGCCATGACATCTACAAAGATCAGGATGTTATTCTGTACCTGCACCAGACTTCAAACTGGATTCCTCCTCCAGTCGCTCCTGGTGCCGTAAAAGCTCCGAGCAGGAGTTTCTGGACGGGGACATCAGCAGGAACCACCAAAGAATGATGATGCTCATCGTTAAAGACGGGATCGGGGACGCACAAAGCGGTCGCTGTGCGAAACGGCTTTAATTGGATGCCTACAAGTCAAGAAGAGTTGGTTAAAAATGGGGGTTTCAACCTTTTTTTATTCACCATCCTTCAGGAGGCAGGACCCATGGACAATGGGTCAACCCTCCTGCCAAAAGGGTTGTTCTTCTAAGTTTCACTTCCCAAATCTTTTATAAGCAATTCATGTGTTCTCATGAAATTACTGCTACTGCTACGGGCTGAAAACCACTGTTAGATGTGGCTGGAGTTGCTGCACAAAGCGGTCGCTGTGCGAAACGGCTTTAATTGGATGCCTACAAGTCAAGAAGAGTTGGTTAAAAATGGGGGTTTCAACCTTTTTTTATTCACCATCCTTCAGGAGGCAGGACCCATGGACAATGGGTCAACCCTCCTGCCAAAAGGGTTGTTCTTCTAAGTTTCACTTCCCAAATCTTTTATAAGCAATTCATGTGTTCTCATGAAATTACTGCTACTGCTACGGGCTGAAAACCACTGTTAGATGTGGCTGGAGTTGCTGTGGAGCAAACATTAGTGATTTAAAGCATTCTAGATCAACACAAAGTCCTTTTCTACAATTGCAAGTATTTAAATACTCCTTGGTAATC